TTAAATAAATATTTTCTAAAATAATATACAATATGTCCCCGGATTGTCTTTACAAGAGGAAAAACTTTTTTATTATTGATATTTCGGGAAAAATGCATTCTTCAGAAAAAGTTTTGATTGTTCTTAAATGATTAATCTCGTTTATACTTTTTCAAATTTCCATACCGTTTTAGAGAAAATTAAAAAAACATGAAAATATGGTGGAATCATAGATAAATGCAACAAGTTTAGATTGGAAAGCCCGTAAAAATTTTAGGTCGCGAAATTATTTTGGGTCGCGACCGTTTTACGCGATCTGGCGCTGCTATAGCGGTCGCTAAGAACCACGGCAAACAAAAACAGAAATAATTTTCTCTTGTCAAAGTCAGAATCTTCAAAAATCATAATAATCTTTCAAAATCTAAACCGCTGTCATTAAAGAAATTCTGAAAAGTGTTTATAGCGTCCATTTTCAAAGTAATAATTGCTATCTTGTGAGTTTAATTCAAGTTTTATTTACTCCAACCGGTGATAATTGTGAAAAAGTGACATTAAAAAGCTGTGCTGTGAACTGCAAAAACCATCGTGGATCGTGGCATAACGTTGGTTTCCAATGTTTTATAGGTATTTCATACATGCGTCCTTATATAAAATAAAGTTTCTTGTATGCAACACACTGTCTTATTTATAAAATTAAACGAAAATAATAATAAATTTGAAAAAACAATATTTGGCGATATAATTCCGGAAAAAGCCGAACCGCTCCGAAATTTTCAAAAGTTTTGGGTCGCGACCGTTGCAAGAATATACCTTATGGAGAAAATTCAATCTAAAAACATTTATCTATGGGTGGAATTTTAAGTCTTAAAAATCAAAACGTGTTTCTATGGTAATATAATTTCGATTTCATTCTTTGATAGGTTGTTATTGACAGAATTATAATTAATGCCATATTTTTGCTGTTTTAAAATTACAGTTGAGGGTTGGAACCTTTGGTGTTACACAGCAAAATAAAAACACTAAATCACCACAATACACCAAAACACTTTTACTTTTACACTGAACGCGCGTTTCGCTAACCATGTTAGCATCATTAGCAGATGATTATAAGCAGTTTATAATCATTATATATATTATTATACATTTATATATCGCGTCCAGTGTAAAAGTAAAAGTGTTATGGTGTATTGTGGTGATTTAGTGTTTTTATTTTGCTGTTTTAAAATGTTAAAGAAGCACAAAATTTATTTAGTTGAATGCTACGGAAAGGGTGATAATAGTTATAGGAAAATGTGATACTTTAACAATAGCAAAACATATGACGTTAATCAAAATTAATAATAACCATCTCTCAAAGAACGAAATCGAAATTATATTTCCATAGAAACTCGTTTTGATTTTTAAGGCTTACAAAAAAATTCAACCGTTTTTTAATTTTCTCTAAAACGGTATAGAAATTTGGAAAAGTACAAACGGGGATTAACCATTTTAGAACAAGCAAATCTTTTATGAAGTATGCATTTTTCTCAAAATATCAATAATAAAAAAAGTTTTTACTCTCGTAAAGACAGTTTGGGGACATGCTGGATGTCATTATATTGAATATTCTGATCATAGTTTTTAAAAGTTTTTCTAACCAAATATTTGTTTATCGGTGGTTATGTCATATCCTTATATACTTCCTGTTCAAAAAGCTTTGATTAAACAATTTCAATTATTTTCAATTATTATTCATTTAACGCTTTTAATAGTGATGGGCAAAACTGTTATTTTTAGATAATAGTTGAAACTGTTATAGTTATTTATAAAAAACAGCTTAAAATAACAGCTTAAAATAACACGTTTCTTTATTTTATTGCTAAATATCTGAAAGAGTATGAGGCGGTCACCGCCAGGCGTATTAACGCAGTTGCAAGTTGCAACAATGACGTGCTCGGTGGTAGTGTTTCCAGGGTGTCATAACATTTCTAAATATCGATTGTTATCTAAAATACCTCTCTAAAAACGGTGGTTGTTTACAAATTAGCGCTGTTTACAAATTGCGATATAAAAAAGCCAAAATGCCGCCATTCGTCTATACCTATACATTCCGATCTACCTACGCCCTGCCCCTCGATCCGCGTAGATCCTAAATTGCGTAGCAGTGTACAGGGGGCATCTCACTCGACGGGCGAGAAGCTCTTAGTTATGATTTTACCATTTGCGGTCAAAAAATAGCAATATAAGAAAATGTGTAGTATATTCTTCATAAGTAAACCACTACTACTGCCGTTACTCGCTGACGAGTATTTGACACGCATCAAAAGATGGTTACGGAAGGCGTTTCCTATCATGAGCTTTTCTGTGACTGAAAAGCCCGATACGTGATGTTATCTCTCTTCCGCACTCCGGACATTCAAAAATCTTATTACTTTGTTGCCTCTTTACTTTTTGGTTGTCGTTATTAACTGAATTTACAATTCTCCTCCATTGCGTTCTATTGTGCGCTGCTTCCTCCCACTGATGCTGCATACTTATCCCCTTTAAGTTTTCATGAACAACATCCTTGTATCTTTGAGTTGTCCACCCGGTTTCCTCTTACCCTCTACAAGTTCACCGTAAAGAAGAGATTTCGGTAGACGGTTTTCTTGCATCCTGCATACGTGGCCAGCCCATCTTAAGCGAGATTTAGTAATCATGACTTCAGCGCTCTCGCAGCTTGCTTTTTTATGGACTGATACGTTTGAGACATGGTGGTACCATTTGATTCTTAACAGTTATCTAAGGTGTCTCTGTTGCAACTTGTTTAATGCGCTCGTGTGCCGGCGGTACGGCACCCAGGTATAAGTAAACCATCTACACACTAGAGTTCGAATTAATTTTACACTTAAACTAGCGTGTACCCGCGACTTCGTTCGCGTCGAATTATTATTTTGTAATGGTGATGATAAAGCAAAGCAAGAATTTCCATTAACATACAAACTGGATAAAATTTTCTCACATTTGCCAAAAATAAGCTTTAAACGTCGAGCAGTTTAAGCAGAATCGTGGTTAATCAATTACTCAACTTTTTGGAACACCCTGTATGATTTTTTAAAAAATTTCAAAATTTGTAAAAAAACAAAATAAATTAAGCGTGTCCAAGCGCTTTCCCGAAAGACTAACCGTTTTTTAAATAACAAATATTGTAATATTTGAGGGGCGTTTTCACCCTCTTGGAATTTGAGATTCGAGAAACCCCTCCTTATCGAAACTCTACACCCCACAGTCAATCCGTTTGCCAAAAATCAGCTTTAAACGTCAAGCAGTTTAAGCAGAATCATGATTACTCAATGGTCATATTTTATGAAACACCCTGTATATATTTTTTAAAAATCTTAAAATATGTAAAACAACAAAATGAAATATACGTGTTTAAGAGTTTTTTTCGAAAAACTCACCAGTTTTTAAATAAAAAATATTCTAGTATTTGAGGGTGGTTTCACCCCCTTAGAATTTGAGTATCGAAAAATCCCTTCTTATCGAACCTCTACACCCTAAAGTCAATCCGTTTTCCAAAAATCTGATTTTTACGTCAAGGGCTTTAAGCAGGATCGTGATTAATCAATGACCAGATTTTTCAAAACACCCTGTATACATTTTCCAAAAATCTTAAAATATTATTCTGAAAATTTTTCAGAATAAATAAATACCTAAATATTAAAACTTAATAACCAAGTACTGAAACATACAGCGCCATAATATCTCGACCTCCGCCCGTTATGCTCGTAACAGGTTGAAACTGCTGATGGTTGATGGTATCTAAAACAACTGATGCGTTATTCTCCTACCTGTTTCGAACCTCCATCGACAATCGACCGATGCAGCAGCGTTACTTTTCCACTCCGATTATCTCGACCGCCGCTCTGTTATAACAGGTTAAAAAACAACGTAGCTAAAACACTTGATGCGTTATTCTCCAGCCCGTTCCGAGCCTTCATCGACAATCGACCGATGCAGCAGCGTTCCTTTCCCACTCCTGTTATCTCGACCGCCAGGCGTTATGCCCGCAACTGTTTCAAAAAAGCTGCTTCTTTTATATCCTATTATTTTTAAGCTGTTGTAAGCCCAACACGCCGCGCCGTAGCGCATACCCCACTCCGTTGTCCGTTGTATCTCGCCGCCTGTATCGATGGTCGTCGAAATAACATGTTTTCCATCCATACTAGTTGTTTTTTGGAATTGATTCGAGCATCATCGAATTTCGTGGCGGTGCAGAGCGCCGACTTCGTTTCACGAACAGTCGATCTCTGCGTGTAGTTATTTTATATCTGTTATTTTTTAAAAGTAGTAACGGTTGCCTTATGTTATTCCTAAATAATTGTTAAAAAATAACAGATAGTTAAATAACAACCCATCACTAGCTTTTAATATTTGCAAAATAAATTTTAATAAAAATAAACAACTACTAATACATTCAATGTAAAAGAGTCTGATGTCAGTCAGTCTGGCGCAATTTTAATCAATACAGAAATATCAGTTAATATTTAATGAGACCTTTTTTTGAAAAATTCGCTATCAGTTGGTTCAATATCGTTTTGCGCAAGCTCAAATAGCTCACACGAAGAGGTATAGGTTTTCTAGAAAGAAATATGTACATACAAAAAATGCATGTTGGAATTCAGATGAACGTGACACCAGTGATGGGTAGTGGGTAAATACCCAACGGGTAGATAAATAAAATTTGGGATATACTTGTACAATTAGATAAACACCCTAATTTTATAAAAGGAGTTCCTGACAATCGCATTGTAAATACCCGGTATAATACCATGAAAATTTTGATGTTCATCTAAATGTACAATGTTGATAAATTGGCGCCCAACGTGGGACAATAAAAAGTGTAAAAATCGCAGAATTGTTCCACAAATCCGTTATAACGTCTTATTAATAGAGACAAAGTTGTATATGATCACTTATGGCATAGCTTTGTCCACGAAGTTTACAGGATACTAAGATTCTATAAGTAAAAATAAGTATGTTAGTTGCAGACTACAACTTACTGGATAGGTGGCCTGGCCAATGAAATTCGAGTCTCCAAACACGTCCTCGTCTTGAACGGAAAAACGTAAGAGAGCAAAATGGGGATTGTAGACGGTAAATTCGCAACATTCGTCGCGCCATATTGGACAAAAACCGTTGTCTGATATTTTTTTGGTGGTGTGTTTGATGCCCGAGTCAAAAGAAGCTCCGATTATCTCCACTTCTACTGTAGGACTTGCCATGCCTTTTTTCGACCTGTAAGAGACATTTTTATTGAACTAACATAGGGTGATTCTTAAATCAGTGCAAAATTTTTAACTAATATCTCGACCATAGGATACCTTAGCTATACAGAAGCGACAGTAAGCGTCGACTCCTTTGACGTATATGTGCCAAAATTTCTGATCTTTAACTCACATATTTTGACAATTATTAAACTCACTTGTACACTCAAAACAAGTCTAGAATTTTAGCGAAATAAATTTTCCAATATACTAGGAAAAAAGGAAATATTAATAAGGGAAGGGCATTGAAGCTGTGCTTTTTTTACGTTTTTTACATTTTGATGTAAAATACAAGTGAAAAATAAATAGAGAAAAAAATGGCATTTATCTTCCTCCTCAACCTATACTTTCAATAATTATATAGCCATACATTTTCAATTCTATACAAAATAAAAAATATAAATAAAAAACAAAATATAAGGATATAAATTAAATTATTACAGTAATCATTAACAAAAAATGTTAAAGAAGCCTTACTAATTCGAAAGTTCTTTTGTACTTTTTATAAAATGTTTTTTACACATAAAATACGAGTTTTGTTAAGGCTCTTTACACGTTTATTCCTGAAGTTAACCATGAATTAATCAAATGTTGACAACCGATGTCAATAAAGTTATAGCCTATATAAGAAATAAAGTCACTTAACATTTGGTGCACGAAAAAATCGAGTGTCGCTTTTGTATAGTTAGCTAATTCTGTGACGAAAGCTTGTCCAGCAAAAGAAGGAACTATTGTGACAGACGACGTCCAAAAATGACAGAAAATAGAGTCTACTTTTGAATTAAAATGCCAGGCACGATCTAATTTATTTTTATCACCAGTATAAGGTACTAACCTGCAAAGATGTCTTCCTGCAATGATCTTGATAGAAACAGTGAGAGGATGGACGCCTGGAAGCGTATTTTTATCGTTTGGATCAAAATCATCCCTGAAATGAATTAAAAAAAAATTGTATACCTTTTCTGATTGTCAAGATGAGAAAAAATATTTTTTAAATAATAATTTCTGATTGTAGGCTTGTGATTACCTGTACATGAACTCTGGTTTGAGCAAATAACCGCAGGCTCCATTGTCTCGAAACTTTGCCTGATTCAACTGCATCGGTTTGTCACCGGTTTGATAATTTAAAGCTACCATTTGAGATCCGCAGTTCCACATATTTATCGGGTTGTAGTTGGAAGAATCGATTCTCAAACCATTCGGATAGATTCTCGAAAATTGTACCTAGAGTAAATAGAAACATTTTAAATATTAATTACTTAACCATCATGTATATATATATAAATATTATTATATCTACTATAATTAAGACAGTTTGGACAACGATCGTTCAATGTTAACCGAGATCAGTTCATTTTGTTTAGAAGATTTCAAGTAGGTTTCGAAAATAGTAATTTTATTAATTTCAAGTAGATGTGTTTGGCAGTGATTTATTTTTGGTTGTGTTTCAATTAAAGTTTAGATGCACATATCAGTTTTAGTAGTAAACTGAGGGGTGTCTCACTGTTGGAATTACATGTACATTTTTTTGACAGTCGTCATCAGGCGACTATAATTATACGGCAGACCTAGGTAGTCTTCTTCGCAGTCATTGACAAACGCTAAAAATTATATTTTGGCAGTACATGTACATTTTTTACCCAAGTGAGACAACCCTCGTAGTAAACATATTAGTAAGAAGTTGATTTGAATTTTGTTTGACACACAGTCAACTTTTATGACTTTTATATACATTATTTTTGACAGTGATCGATATCCATCAACAGAATCATAACCACAAAAGTAAAACGACATTTATTAGAAACAATGTGCAGTGATTTACGAAGTGAAGTAAAGACGAACCAGAAACCTCCAAATCTATTTCAACATTTTATTAAAACAAACAATTTAAACATTTTATTAAAACAATTTATTAAATAAAGACTCCAAAAAAACTAATGATTTCAAACTGCACTCTGTGAAGCCGAACCTGTGAAATGGGTATATTAAATCTTCTGAAGGAATTGGCATAAATCGCTCAGCTGGGAAAGCATAAGCGTAGTGTGCAAGCCGGATTTTGAATTATCGATCGACATTGGCTAATCGATATTAGGAATTTTGGAGTTGCGCTATTGCGCCTGTGTTTGCCTAACAGAAGAACTTATGTGAAATATACATGGACCGGTTATCTAGTCGCCTCTGACTCGGCTTCAATTCCAACGCACTGAAGGTATAGGCGACAATCCATATAGTATTTAACTAGTTAATATATGATTTCACTCCGTTCAAACGTGCAAGAAAGTACAATATATCACGTAATCAGTGTCGCCAACTCAGTTGGATAATTGGTAGTTTTTGTCTTGCAATAATTTCAACAAATAAAACGCCATTTTTAGCCTCAAATCTAAATAGATAGGTACATTGTGAATTTCCAACAACCGATACACTCATGCCATTTTTAAACCATCAAAATCATCTCAAAAGACAAATACCCTCGCCAGAGATTTACACAGTGTATTTCGTATCATTCATTCCGCATATAATGCTTTTATTTTAACTGTGAATTCGACAGCCGACATCCAAAAAATGACAGAAAAAATAATTTACCTGTAAATTAACAGACACAACGACTATCTTCTATTCTCTCGTTGGGTAAACTATACTGATGTTTCAAATGAAGCTACACTGCTATTTCCATTTTTTAAAGCCTTGTTTAAGTTATCACATTGAAACCGAATTTATTACGATTATTTAAGTTCCTTACCTGATGGTACTTCAAAAAGAACGCCTTTTCCACTTGACACATCAACTTCTCTGCTTTGGTCTCCGGAAATGATGACATCTCATAAAATACGAACCCTTGTCTGGCTCTATCCAGATTGAATGAGATCGAACGACAGTAAATAATGATGTTGGACAATTCTTTGGCGATGCGGTAGGTTCGTTCCATTTCTCTGTGTTGAATTTCTTGCTGGGTGGCCTTCTGGGTAACTTTCTTGATGTCCAACAACCATTCGTTTGCCTTCAGAAAAGGCAGTACAAGAAATTACTATTAAAAGAACAAACACCCAAAGGAAATAATGTAAATAAATTAGTTAACGGATTAGTTAAATTAAAGTTTTACCTTATAAAATTAAAGTAGCCGAGATATACAAACCAGATGTTAACAGAAAAACGCTAGGTTGCCACCATAGATAAAAGACTTATACTATTAAATAGATAGGCAACTTATAATACATTTCAATTTTATTATACAAGGGCGCCTCTGGTAGACGGAGGAAGAAATACTAATGGAAGAGAGGGGTGCGGGGAAGGGGGGTTGTTTTAGTTAATTTAAAATAAATTTAGACATTTAAGAACACTTTGTGTGCTTTTAATTAGGTATGAACATATTATAAACGATAAATCAACTGAATTAAAAGCATATAAAGTGTGTTTTATATGTCGGATATTAATTAAAAAATATGGCAAAAAATACTAGAAATAGTATATATTAGCGTTATTACAGTTATAATTTAATCTTGGCGGTTTTCAGCTCAATCTTACAACGCCATAAGATAGCAGGCAGTTTTACATAATTTTCTCCCTTTGAAGTGAATTGGAAACGGCTAGGTATATAATTTTGGTGTAGGCAAGATTCCCAGTTTGTTTCCGTTTGGGACCTGAAATAATAAAAACAAATTAAATCAGATGTAATCATCTGCTGATCATGCTAATATAAAACGCACGTCCTTAATTCCTTACATGCACCGTAAAAAAAATTAAATAACTGCTCTGCAAGTAGCATTTATTAGCAGTACTAATTTAAAAATCTATAACTGTAAGTAGATATGTTTAATTTACTTACCATTGTATCCTTCGGAAACCAGGTGTACAACAATTAAACTCCTTGATAAAAAATAATTAAGAGTTATTACAAAACACAAATTGTCCCACCATTTTTAAAAAACATTGTCTAAAACAGAATACTGGCAAAAAATCTGAAGGAATTTAATTTTACAATAATTCGACAAATCAAAACGAAATCAAACCGTAAAAACACAACAAAAGCGTCTCTGAGTGATTCTCTGTTAGTAAACTATAATTGATTGTTGTCGAATATTGACATTTGCACTGCTAATTTCCATTTTTTAATAGCCTGCATTTCAGCATATCACATTGAAACCGAATTTAATGAACTGTCATTTCATTTAAGTTCCTTACCTGATGGTACTTCAAAAGAACGCTTTTTCCACTTGACACATCAATCCAAATCTGCCTTTGTCTCGAAATGGTGATGACATCTATTTATGGTAATCGCTAACCCCTTGTCTGGCTCCCTCATCAGCAGATTGATATGAGATCCGTAAAAACACAACAAAAGCGTCTCTGAGTGACAGTTAAAAATCAAATTTTATTATTGTCAGATATTGACATTTGCATTGTTAATATTGACAGTTTTAATATTTTGCGCCTCTGCATCTTGGAGGAAAAACTATTTTTAATGAACTGTCATTTCCATTTAAGTTTCCCAGCCATGGTTGCCACTTATTTATTACTAAACCCATCCAAATTAGCCTTAGCAACAAAATGGAGATGTTAACTATTTATGGTAATCGCAAAACAATTTCCGATGCACGTGATCAACTTTGAGTGACAAGCGATGGCGACAGCGCTGCCAGATTGTGAACAATATATTTATTATATCATTTGTTATGATTTTTACGTTTTATTTTTAATTTAGTAACTAATATTTTAGTAATTAATTTTGTTTTATAGCTTATTTTTATTACATATTGGCAAAAACTAGTCCATTATGAAGATTATTCTAAGCGTTATTATGGGTTATTTATTTATTTATTGATGCTCAACCTTACAACGCCATAAGTGGTAATAACAAGTAAGAGGGTGCTATTAATGCACAAACTAATAATCACAGAATTTCATAAAAACTAACGTAGAAATAATTTTGAAAGTAGTGTAATGGCTTATCAATCAAACTTACTTCTCTGACTGTAGTCAAGAGTAATAAAGGACCTTTATTGTCACGTTCTCGTTCAAAATAGTATCAGGGAAGCTACAAGCTCTTTGATTCGACTGTTTAAATGCTTCGGCATATTTTCAACACACAATTTCAAGACATGCAATACAAAAACTCGAAAATTTAGTTCTTAAAAGAACTGTTTGTGCTTTTAAGTACAATTTAAAAAAAAAGGCTATGAAAATAGGCAGAAGAACGAGAATTACTCACAAAGATTCAACAACAACACGATATTATACAAAATAATGACTGACATTGGGATAATTGTCAAATAATAAACAACCACGTTGTTGAAAACGGCGCAATGTGACCAACATAGCGAAAATTCGGTTTAAACTAATTTTTGCAGCTTTAATCTAAATAAAATATCTGTTACAATCATTTGCTCTATAAAGTCAAATGAAGAGCTGCTTGCTGCTCTTAAATTATACAACAAATTTAAACATTTTTTTAACAGTTTTTTTAACAACAAATTTAAACAGTTTATAGACTTTAGTGTCAATGTCGATATTATTGATGACGTGCATCGAAAAATGTTTTGCGATTACAATAACTTAAAATACTCAGTATTAACTATTTAACTTAAAATACTTCTAGTTATGTCGGTCCTACATGCTTTTGGCGTAAATAGAGATATTTATTTATTTTTAAATATTTTTATGAAGATCAACAGCGTGCAAATTTATTAAAAGGTTCTTATTGTTGCGTTCACGAAAAATGCCAACCATTTTTTAAGTAATTTATTTCAAACGCTGAAGAGGGGGCGCTACTATCAAGTTGCTACCCCGCGCCCCGGTTGATTGTAGATTCGGGGCTGATAAGGATCCTGAACCTATATCCTAAACTATCAATGACGACGTCAGATATATTGAAAACAAGATTATATATGTCGTCAAATCAAACTGTAAATAAACAAACGGTTTGTTTGGTTTGGCTTGTATCTATATGTTGACTCAAAACAAATCAATGTATAAGGTTTTTCTATTTCTTATACGTCTAAGAGAAAATACTTACAAATTCGGACGGAACAGCAATATCAAAGGCAAAGGTTTGTTTACTTATTGCTTGTATCTATATGTTGACTCAAAACAAATCAATGTATAAGGTTTTTCTATTTCTTATACGTCTAAGAGAAAATACTTACAAATTCGGACGGAACAGCAATATCAAAGGCAGTAAGAGCTGTTGAAGTGGTAATTCGTAGAACACATTCAAAACCAGGACGTTCTTCACAACGTAGCAAATCAACAACTGCACCATTCATGTCTAGAGAACCCTGAACGACACTCTAAGGCAGGAAAAATAATATATCAGACATAATTAAATTAGAATGGCAAATGAGATGTTACCCCATCATCTTCTTGACTCGGTCCAGCAACCTCTATCTCTTCCACGTATGCTGCAGGAAAATAAAATTGTTTGGCTCCTCCATAGTCACCCTTCCACCATTCGGGATTGTCGGGGGGCTTGGTGACATTTGTGATGATGGCGTGACGACAGAATGACAGTTCGTCCGGCATCTGAGCCTTGTAATCGTACCTCGCCTTATTGAAAAGAAAAAAACAATATTTATACTTTTTTCACCTAACAGTCTCTACGAAGCAATCCGTCTGATTCAGTGTTAATGAGCGTGAGAACGTTTTTGGGTGAAACCGATCAGTATACAGGGTGGCGCCTTTCATACGCCGCAGAAGCTCCAAGGAGAGCGGTAGTTTATACCGAATTGAAATTTTGGCAGCATATGTAGGTTAACTAAAAGCATTTTAAGGTGCGTATTCATTATCCGAACGAACGAACGAATGAAAGTGCGGTATATTTAGATGGAGACCGAACGCATGCGGCCGTCCGTTCGTTCGTTCGCTCGGCCATCCGTTTCGAGTCGGTACATCAAAGGCGTTCGGTATCGTACGGTCCCCGTCCATACCACTAGCGAACATTCGTTCGTTCGTTCGGATAATGAATACGCACCTTTACAAAAAAATATATAGAATTATATAGGCTGTCTCTAAAAAAAGTTACACATCAAAGTTGTGTTTTTTCTAATGAAACACCCTATATATGAATTGATTTTCGTATTCTAGGAAAAAAATAAAGGTGAGTTGTATTGAAGAAGCATATACCTAAAATCTAAGGATTTTGACATATTTCACATTTTGTGAAAATGCAGAGTAAATGTTAAATTTCGATAACAGCTACCTAAATTTTAGTTGACCTTGTATAGCCTGATATTTAATTACAGTAACCATTGTATGTTAAACCAAATTGAAATTTGACCTGGAAAGTTATACAGGGTGAGACAAAATTAATATGGAACATTAGTCACTTTTAAAAGCAAGTTACTCTTTTATTTTAAATGGAACACCCAGTATATTTTTCCGGTGTTCAATGGGGAATTTATATATCTTCAAAATATTATTAAGGTTGGCTAGCCCTCATTAGGTTGGCTAGCCTTCATTATTTGAAAAAATCTAGGGTGGCTGATGATATACATACCTTGTGTTAATTAGCTAGACGAGATCAAATGCTCAAAATGCTTAATTTCCTGTTAACTGCATAAAATGACTGTCTTTTCAAAAGGATATGTTCATTTTACAAGGCATATGTGGAGTTCTACCTCGAAAAGCAGCTACAATTTCTCTCATTATGTCGACAATAGTTGTGACAATAGTTGGTCGAGTTTTGTAAACACTATCTTTAACATACCCCATAAAAAACAGACTAGATAAAATCAGGAGCATTTAAGTATTCTATTAATTTATTTTCTTATAAATTTAAGTATTCATATCAATTCTTTCCGATGTAGGATAAGTTTGCATTTTAGGCAAATTTCTGAGATTTTTTTTTTATTTTAACTGACACAAAATGATAACTATATAGTTGTTAAAGTTGGACTAATTAGACAGCTATGTTGAAGTAACGTCAGACATATCACAGCCACCTACATTTTATTAAGTAATAAAGATCTACTCAGATCAAATCATGTAAATAAAAATATCTAGGAAAATCTTTGTTTGAGGGGTAGGCAACCGTAATAGTATTTTGAAGTGATATTAATTCTCCATTGAATATCGGAATAATATACTGGGTGTTCCATTTAAAATAAAAGAGTAACATGCTTTTAAAAGTGACCAATGTTCAATATTAATTTTGTATCACCCTGTATAATTTTTTGGAACAAGTTTTAATTTGATTTAAAGTACAATAGTTAATTCTTTGAATAAGAAGACTAAGGAAAGAGCATATCAAAAATCTTAGGTACACCGCGATGGGCCTCAAATATGGCCAATGACTTAAATTCCGGTTTATCAGTGTCGTTCTAATTTTATTTAAAAAATGTAAAACTATGATGTAGGGTAGACGTGGGGTAGACTCAATAATTTGTTGTTTTATTTTACGTTGTGAATAAATGTTGGTAGTTATTAAAATTGTTATAAAAATATATAATTCTAATAAAAATAGATAAGTTATAATAAGTATTTATTAACACAAACATCCGATACGCTACTGAAGCAGGTAAGTCAAATTAACGTATCTAAATTTTTTGACATCTAATCTTTGACAAGTAATAAATAAAAGCTAAAATGCAAGAAAAATATATAATTTAGTTAATTTAAGTGAATTTCATAAATGATCGGTTTACTACACGTATGTATATTATATAGTCACTTACTAGCGAAAAGTTGTTCCATTATTTCACTCAATTTTTTGCCGAGATCTACCGCACGCTACACAACCAACTATTTTAGAGTCTTTTTCGATAAATCGCGATAGTGTCACTGTTAATTTAAGTTCTGCCACAATTTCCATCTAGATTTCTACCTTTATACAACTATCAGTAGTAGAATAAATAATAAATAACATAAAATAAGCTCCATAAAGACTGACAAATCCACAAAATTTCAAATCAAATTCAAATGTGTCAAATGAATCGTCAAACAGAACTGTCAAGGATCCCCACCCTAGAGAGCTTTTATGGTGGCTTTTCCGCCCACCATGCATGAATACATGGATAGCATTATGCTCCTTCCTTAGTCTTCTTATTCAAAGAGTTAATTTAACTACATATTAGGCTATACCGGGTAAATTCCAATTTAGGTAGCTTTTATTGTAATTTAAAAATTGTTCTTTATTTCTAGAAAATGTTAAATATGTCAAAAACCTTACATTTTAGTCATATACTTCTCTTATAAAACTCACCTTTATTTTTCTATTAGAATCTGAAAATCAATTAATATATAGGGTGTTCCATTACAAAAAACACAACTTTGATATGTAACTTTTTTGGGGGGACACCGTGTAGAACTCTCTATATTTTTAAAAAGTGCTCTGAATTAACCTACATATGCTCACAAAATTTCATTTCAATACAAGCTGTCGTTCTCCGTGAAGCCTCCGCGACGTATGAGACGCGCCACCCTGTATATGTTACGGACCTTTACCATAGTACTTTTTTTTTTAGCATTTTAGCCAATAACCTAAGTACCTAATTTCATCAGATAATATCGTCATAGGCCGAATATTTACGAAACTAACTAGTAATTAAGGGTCGTGTTGAATATATTGCTTTTTTATTGGCTTTGGTCAGTTATTGTTCGGGTAATAATGTTATTGGCTACATAATATTTCGAAGTGATAGGCATCATCAGAATAATCTAGCTAACATCGATTTCGTGAATGCCTTTAAAAGGGCATTTAATATATGTTTACATCCAAAATCCCAAAAATACGAAAAAATATAATATTTATATTCAAAAGGAGGTTCAAGAAAATTCACAAACATATCAGTAATATATACCGTTTGAAAATGTCTCTGTAAAAAGAATAGGTTAGAACGCGGCAAATCAACAAATCGCGGAAAAACCGTTAAATCTTAAAAGAAAGTTACTATTCAAAATTATTCCTAAATATTAGTGATGGGAAAAACCGATTAATTTCAATAATCGAGTACTCGAGTTTCAAGCGACTTCAATAATTGGGCGATCGCTCGAGCGAAATTTCGCTCGTATTTAAAAAATACGGTTTTTCGCCCGTCGCTTGTTGTAGTCGCAAGTGGACAACTAGTACAAGAGACGAGTAATTCGCTTGATTTAGTTTAGTTTAAAGCATTGTCGGTGGTCGTCGGTGTAGGTCGTAAAATTTTGTCAGTCAGATACCCAATGGATAACGTCGTATAAATATGCTACCTGCAATGTATGTAGAAAATTCGCTCGGCGTTGTATCAAGTATGTCACATTAAAATTGGATTTCAATTTATTTCATTCTAGGATCGCTTGCGTTCCTAGCGCATCGCTCGTAACTCGCCACTTGCATCGCTCGTTCATAGTCGAGCGATGTCGGTTACTTCAATAATCAAGTATTTGAGCGATTTTTCGCTCGAGTTATCCCATCACTACTAAATATTTCTAATATACTTTTTACTAAAGACATGTTGTATCAGTGTATAGAATTTCTTTTGCCTTCGTTACATTTTTCTCAGTGTATTAAACCGGCGATCACTCATTGGGCTGATAGGTATTGTGACTATGGAAAAAAATAAACTTGCATTGGCCTGAACTTTCTATTTTATATTAGCCCTCAACATTAAGCAATAAAAAGCACAAATATACAGGGTGGCACATCGAAAACGTTCCGCAAAGCATTACGGCCAGGGTATTTATTTTTTCAAAAAATCCAAAAACACGTCAATTTTGTTTGTGAGGGGGACAACTTTTGCCCCCAAAAATAATTGCAAAATCTTTAACCCTCTAAGCGGGGGTGTCATCCCCCATTTTTTTTTCAAATGGGAAGGAGGGTCAAGTAGCGCCGCAATGAAATGAGCTTTCTATTCTCTATATTTCCCCGCTTCGTTTTTGAAAATCGGTCGAGTCATTAAGAAAATATGAAGGATTGAAATTTGAAAAGTTTATTTAAACATTTATCAGAGTAAATGATAATTAAGGATAAATTCCTTCGACCAATTTAGTGTTTTTTCTTATTATTTCTAGATGTTTACGCATTTTTTCACTTGCCACAAAGTTGAACGATCAGGTGCGGTAGTTGCTAGATAGCTGTTCTGTGACTTGTGCGTTGAAGTTCTTCTCAATATCGTTAAACGGACCCACAATAGAACTTTCAAAAATACCAGCCCACACGTTCAATTTCTGAGGGTTATGTATGTGCACCTCGTGAAAAACCCTGGGGTTGTCCTCAGCCCAGTACCGACAGTTGTGCCGATTAACTACACCGTTCAAAAAGAAAGTACACTCATTCGAAAAACACACATTAAATAGGAAATTATTATCATTCGCCACTCGTTCACTCATAGTTTCACAAAATTGCAAGCAACGATCAAAATCGTCTTCGTTGAGTTCTTGTACCAACTGAATTTTGTACGGGTGGAACTTGTGTTTTTTTTAATATCCTTTGGACACTTGGACGATTCACGCCGGTCTTATTGGCTAATTTTCTTGTACTCAGAATACTGTCCATGGCAACTTGGCCCAATACGAATACCTCCATAGCTTCATTTACTACAGGATTTTCCCTCTGCCTCTTTTTATTCATAACGGAACCAGTTTCGCGAAATTTTGCTACTAACTGGCGAACAATTTTGCCATAAAGGTGTTTGTCAGGATGGCGTTCATTGAATACCACAATTGCAAACATCTAGAAATAATAAGAAAAAACCGCAAATTGGTCGAAGGAATTTATCCTTATCATTTACTCCGATAGATGTTTAAATAAACTTTTCAAATTTCAATCCTTCATATTTTCTCAACGACTCGACCGATCTTCAAAAACAAAGCAGAAAAGTATAGTGAATAGAAAGCCATTTTCATTGCGGTACCACTTGACACCCCTTCCCATTTGAAAAAAATTGTGGGATGACCCCCGCTTAGAGGGTTGAAGATTTTGCCATAATTTTTGGGGCAAAAGTTGTCCCCCTCACAAACAAAATTGACGTGTTTTTGAATTTTCTGAAAAAAAAAATACCCTGGCCGTTATGCCTTGCGGAACGTTTTCGATGGGCCACCCTGTATGTAAGATATACATATACATTTTTACTTACAATACGGTGACTGACTCTTTTTACATAAAACGAACAAATATGTAAAAGCCTACTTCAAATGTTGCTGCATATTATCTAAAATGACTACACAAAACACACATACCTAACCTTACATACCTTAACAGTAATTTTTGGTGCAAACGCCGAAGGGTCCATATACGATGGCGTATGATTATACACAGCACCCTCATCTTGTTCCTGAAATTAAAAAGAAAATAATTAACATTTTACGTTTAATTAATACTTTTCATGATTCTTCAATAAATATTCAGGTTCAATATACAGGGTGTTTCAAAAAATATGTGCCATCTCTCGTGGGGAGTTTCCTCTCTAATGGCGCATTCTCACGACTCGTGTACTTGACAAACATTTGAAATTGGTATACAGGGTATACATGGTGCGTGGGGCATCTACACATTATTTCTAAGTTATTTATTATAAGCTTGGTACATTTCAGTTGATTTCAACAACGCCTCAACGGAAAAAATCTGAAATTATCACTATATAGTTCACGCCGCCGCGCCGCGCCTCTACGTCATGATGATCGCATTAAAATAATATTGAAATCGTGGTTTTGTCATAATATTTAATAGTCTAAGAGCTAGCAACGTTTTCGAGAAAGTAATTTAAGACGTCTTGCTCTTTGATATATCCTTTACTATGCTCTCTGGAACAGCATGCGGCCGGTCTGGCTGCCGATACTCGTTGCGTTCACTACTGCGCATCGGAAGAAGATCCTATATATTTTTTTTAATTTAGTCCTATAAATTCTAGTATTGAATATAAGTCGAACATGTCTCCATAGCGCAATGCGTAGAATTTTCGACTACGAACCGAGGATTCAGAGTTTGAATCCGGGTCAGGGCAAAGACTTTTTGATTTTATTTTCGTTTATATGCTGATAATAAAATATTAAATAATTATGGTGATTAAAAAAAAACAAATATTTAATGCTTTACTATCAGAATATAAACGAAAATAAAATAAAAAAGTTTTTGCACTGACCCGGATTCGAACTCTGACTATACTCGCTTAATAGGCAGAACCTCTACGCACTGAGCTATTATGGAGACTCAAATTAAAATAAATATTAAATTTCTAAAAATTAAACTAAAGTAAATATTAATTTTCTACAATATATAAATTTCAAATATAAATTAAAATTCAACATATATTAATTAAAAAATAAAAAAATAAACATAATTCTTAACTTGTTCTTAACTAACATAACTAAAAAATTTTATCCTACAAAATTGAATATCAGCATATACAGATTGAAATAATTTACTCTCAACTTACATTACTAATAAAAAAAATATATAAAAAAATATATAAAAAAATATATCACTCAAAATAAATTTAACTAATGCTTAAGTCATTTTCTTTAAATTGTGCATTGAGGTATGATTTGATTATTGCCTTGTTTTTTCTTTCAATTTATCTAATTATAGTTGATTATACGGCTCTCCTCACCTTATGATTTTAGTCTAGTTGTTTTTAATTTTTCAAATTTAGCATACCATATTGTTATCTTGATTGAACAATTTTTGTGATAGATATAATGTTTTGACTTTGTAAAAAAATTTTGGCTTTTTAACTTGTTGTGATTGTATTTTATAAATTTGACCTCTGTAATTGTTTTTAGCTTTGGGCCTGATGATGGGAATATTTTAAATTCCCGAAATATGTCGCCCCCCTTGCTTTTTTAAGCATTAAAATTTAAATTAAATAACTTAAAGATTGTGAGTTATTGTCCTTTTACCCGCCTTCAAAGGTTTTGCTTTGATAATATGTACTCACACTGGGTTAGAGAACGTTTAGTTTTAGTGATTAAATGTTTTATGAACATCTTCTAAAATTATAATTATCTACCTTTCAAAGAAAAATTTCGTTATAGCCGAAATAGCCTCACTAGCAAAACCGGTGATTAAAACTATGCTCGCTACCGTAGTTGAACTCATTTAAAGTTTTTTAACTGGAGTTAGACCTTCTGAAGATATCAAAATATCTACTTTTTTATTTTTATTTTTAGAATTTTCACAAATTATACTTCCTAACACTTTTAGAATAATTAAATAATACATTTTTTGTATACTAGCTATTTATCTATCTAAAACCGTGTATTTGTATATGCCAATTTTTTTTTTCGATATTCTCCGATGGTGGCAGCACCGGCGGAGAATACACCAAGCCCATAGGAACTACGCCGCATTCTCGCCAGACCCTGTATGCCAAAAAAAATACTTGCCAAGTAGACGAGTTGTGAGAATGCGCCTTTACAGCGCTGTCAGATGGAGCGGAGCGTCCGCGCTGTTTTTGTGTTGCTTGTTTTTTCAAGATAGAAAGAATCAGACAAAATCATCATCCGGAAATCATCCGGACGGAGCATATGCGATCCATGTGGAATTGTTCATTTAAACTCATGGAACTCGCGGACGCTCCGCTCCATCTGAAAGCGCTGTTAGATTTATTTTTCATTTCTAAAAACCACACCTAATTTTTTGCACTTATCTCGTTCATTAACACCCTGTATAATATGGCAACGGAACTATCTAAGTAAATTGAGTAATTTCTTACAGCTTAGAATCGTTATCTCAAGCTATTTAAGATATCATTCGTCTATGAAAAAAGAAACTCGTAAGTTTGAGAACAAAATATCAATATGATGTTCAAAGTTTACGTAACTTGGGACACTCTGTACAGAAAGAATACAAAATATTACTCATAATAATTAGTCCCGGACCCATTAAAGAATGTAAATTGTTTTGAGGCTTAAGTTTCTAGCGTGTTTTATGTTGAGATTATTTAAATCGAAGGTCCTCGCGGCATCGTTTAAAATGCCATTCCGTTTTTAAAAGCTGGAAATTACAAGCCACCACTACGATAAACAACAAAAAAAACATGAAAAGCCTTGTTGGGACGTCTACTAAGAAATGATAAATTATAGGGTTAATGTTAGCTAGAAAATATCCTGGTAATTTTTATTTAATATAGGAGTTAAGAAGAGATTTGAAAAACATTAAATCAAAAAAAAATACGATACAAAAATTGTAATTTGATTTTAACACTGTTTTATTGTAGTTTAATAATAAAATTTAAATATTTTTTAAGAAATTACATTTCAGTGAACTGTAATTCTTTATGTAGCGATTGTTAAGTTATTTAAAGTTTTTCTTAAATGTCAAAACTATAATTTGAAGAAACTGTTTTTATAAACAGTTTCTAAACAAGAAATAAGTGTTTGAGAAACTTAATTCGAAACCAATTAAAGTTTTAGTTACGTAATCGAGGGCGCAATTTTTAAATTCATTGTTGCCAACCATCGACATATTTGGCGCCGGGCTGACTAAAGCTTGATTTTCATGCATCCGTTATACCCTTATACGTTGATCCGACGGTGCTCTGATTGGTCATAGCGTTTTCGCGCCACTTTTCATCCGTAAATATTTTACTTCAGCCCGTCAGCGAACCCGTTCATACGATAACGGACGTTTTGACACTTTTTTGACAAATTTAATCTAACTTTAATAAAAATATAAGTAAATTAGCAAAATCGTTATGGAAACGAAAATATAAAATGACACAAACGTATATCCGATAAACGGAGGCATGAAAATGCAATAAATTTAAAAACTGCGTTATTTTCTAACCAATCAAAGTCTTTAAATTCTACCAATAAAATTAATATCGTATCAACGTATCGTCAGACAACGGATGCATGAAAATCAAGCTTAACTGGAACTTAAATTTCCCGCTGGGGATTCAGGTGGTAGATCTGTTGTAAAAAATATCAAGTTGCCACATTTATCAGATTATTTATTTCCTGACATTGAAACATTCGTTTGGATACTTTAGTTTTGTATTAGGAGATTTTGGTTTAAATGAATTGTGTTGTGATAACTTTAAGCTTAAAAAGTTTTACTAGCAGACCTTGCACTCAAACATCGTTCTTTTTAGGGCCCCTTTAAGTGTACAAGATAGCTTAAAGGTACATTCAGGCTGAGAGCGTCGAGCGTCGCGTCCGCCCCATTGAACTCGAACCCCGACTTTCAGCGGACGCTAGTGCAACGCCAAACGCGACGCTGTCTGCCTGAACGGTCTAATTTAAGTTAAGTGAATTTATTCCATTTTGACACGCGGACGCGACGGAAACGTGACGCGACGCTCGACGCTCTCAGCCTGAATGTACAGCTGGTTCCAATAAAATTGAATACGATTTAAAACATATTTTTATTATTTCGGGCAGTATATTCTATGATACCAGTCTCTCATTTCTCTACTCATGTCATGCTGTCATTCTGAAAAATTTATTTGCCACTTTGTCAACAGCAAAGTTCTCTTCTTCTCTCTCTTCTTTTTTTATGATGGCTCTGCTACAAGGCAACCGCCAGAAAAGCAAAGTTCTTTTATTCAATAATCACAATAACCTTAACATGGTTGGCGCCGGTCGGACGTGAAAGACGGTTGAGCGTAAAAAATCCTTTTTCTGAGATAGAATTTAATTCAGGTTCCAATTTCCCATTGTTTTTAGTTCGTACTTGTTTTTGGTGAGTGTTTTCCATTTTATTAAGTAGTTTTAGTTTTTTGCTTATATTATCATAACCCTAATATCCTGCTGACCCTTCCTGATCGTTCCTGATCCTATGCTAAATGGGGAAGGGGGGCCTACGGGTCCTCCTAATGATTTCGTTCGAAAATTAGCCCATATTTTATCGCCCCAAAATTACAATTTAAGTTTGAGTTTTGCAAAAGGTATATGTCAAGAAATACCCGTAAATGTCATTAAGCACCTGGAAGAGGAACTTTATGAAATTAGAAACAAATATATAGAAGATGTTGAAGTACAGCAAGAAATTTCTCAATGTTTTTTTAATATTAGGAAATATACAAATAAAATTTCAGAGTATGATATTTCTGCCTTTCCTCCCTTCCTTGCAGTTATCCAAGGTGAACGTTCCCTTCATCCTATGAATGTTGGAAAATATTTATTTCAAAACAAAGTTGAGGGAATTAAAAAAATCGAAAGTAAAGGGAGAAATAGAATGGGCATATATTTTAATACTCCTGAACAAGCTAATTCATTTGTCAATAATAAAGAAATTTTAAATAAAAATTGGTTAATTACTATTCCTCCCAGGATGATTACTTGTAGAGGTGTAGTGTGGAACATGGGTGATGATATATATGAAGAAGATATT